ACAACAGGGAAAGGGGGGAAGGGGGAGGGGGGGTCTGGAGAGAGAAAAAAAAGGGATGGAGGGGGTTAGGGGGGTTTGGGGGAAAAAGGACGTACGGGATGGAAACGTGAAGGGGGGGGGCCCGGAGGAGGCATCAGGATAGGAAAGGGGGGTTGGGGGGGTTTGGAAGAACCCTCAGGGATAGGAGGGTGGGGGGGGAGGGGGGAGAAATCGGGTTTTGGCGGGAGGGCTAGCTGTATGGGGAAAAGGTACCCGCTCGTTTCAGCTGTTATGGTCAGTCTAGGTATGGAGGGAAGGTATGCTCTGTTTCAGTGGTTTTGGTTTTAGTTAGGGGTATTAAGGAGAAGGGGACTGCTTGTTTCAGTGGGTTTGGCAGTCTAACTGTATGGAGGAGAAAAATGCTCTGTTTTCAGTGTTAAAGGTCGTTAGCGGGATGGGAAAAAGAAGGTTAAATTGCTCTGTTTCAGCTGTTTTGGTCAAGTTTCAGCTTTTTGGAGGGGAAGGGTTTTGCTCTTTTTTAGTTTATGGTCCGTCAGCTGTAGGGAGGAAAAAGGTAATGCTCTGTTTGCTGTTTTGGTCGTTAGCTTATGGGGAGAAGGGATGCCTGGGGGCAGCTTTTTATGGTAGTTTTAGCTGAAAGGGAAAAAGGTCTGCTCGGGTTTTAGTGGGTTTTTGGTCAGTCTAGCATGGGGGAGAAGGGACTCCTCTGTTTCAGCTTTTATGGTCAAAATCTAGCTGTATGGGGGGAAAGGGATCTGTTTGCTTTTTATGGTCAGTCTAGCTTATGGAGGGGGGAAAAGGGAAAGCCTCGTTTCAGGGTTATGGTCAGTTAGCTGTTATTTTTTTAGAAGGGGTACTTTCTTTTGGTTTAAAATGTTTTTGGTCCCGCTGCTGTATGGAGGAGAAAGGGATGCTTGTTTTTGCCGTTATGGTCAGTTTAAACTGTATGGAGGGAAAGGGGCTGCTTGGTTTTAGTGGTTTTGGTCAGTCTGCGGGATGGGGGGAAGGGGGTTACCCCCCCCCCCGCTCTGTTTCAGCTTTTTTTTATGGCAGTTTAAACGTATTTGGGGGAAGAAAGGTTATGCTTGTTTCAGGTTTTTGGTCAGTTTTAGCTGTAAGGGGGGAGGTTTTTGCTCTGTTTCAGCTTTTTTGGGGCAGGGCTTTGCCCGTATGGAGGGAAGGTATGCTCGTTTCCGTGTTATTTGGAAATCTAGCTGAAGGAGAAGGATGTTTTGTTTCAGTGTTTGGTCAGTCTAAAAGGGATGGAAAAAGGTACTGCTCTGTTTAAACTGTTTTTTTGGTTTAGTCTGCTGTAGGAGGGAAGGTCCCCGGGTGTTTCAGCTGTTAGGTCAGCTAGCTGTTTGGGGGAAAGGGGATGTCTGTTTCAGTGTTTTGGCCAAGGGTTTGCTGATGGAGGGAAGGTACTGCCGTTTTAGCGTTATGGTCAGTCTAGCTGTATGGAGGGGGGGTTTCTGCTCTGTTTTACTGTTATGGTCAGCTGCGGGGGAGGGGGGGAAGGGACGGGTTGGGGTTTAGCTGTTTTTTGGTCCCGTTAGTGTATGGAAAAAGGTACTTGGGTTGTTTCAGGTTTTTGGTCAGTCTAGCTGATGGGAATGGATGCTCTGTTTAAATGTTATGGTTTAGTCAAACTGTATGGGGGGGGGGAAAAAGGATGCTCTGTTTCAGTGTTAGGTTCAGTCTAGCGGGATGGGGAAAGGGAAGGAGGAAGGTTAAAATGCTCTGGGTTTTAGGTTTTGGTCAGTCTAGCTGTATGGGGAAAGGGGAAAAAGGGACTGCTCGTTTCAGTGTTATGGTCAGTCTAGGTTGGGGGGAGAGGTACTGCTTTGTTTCAGATGTTTGGTTTAGTCTGCCCCGTATGGAGGGAAAGGGGGTGCCCCGTTTCGTGTTATGGGGAAGGGCTAGCTGTAGGAGGAGGAAGGGGACTGCTTGGTTTTAGGGGTTTGGTCAAATCTAGTGTTGGGGGGAGAAAAGGGAAGCCTTTTTTCCAAGTTTTTTATGGTCAGTTAGCTGTTGGAGGAGAAGGAATGTCTGTTTCAGGTTTTTATGGGCAGTCTGCTGTATTGGGGGAAAGGTAATGCTCGGTTTTTTAGGTTTTTGGTTAGTCTAGCTGTATGGGAAGGAAAAAGGGGTTTCTCGTTTCGCGTTATGGTCAGTTGCGTATGGGGGAGGAAGGGTTATTTTCTCTTTTAGCTGTTAGGGGAAGTTTCTGTATGGGGGGAGAAGGTACTGGGTTGTTTTAGGTTTTTTGGTCAGTCTAGCTGGATGGAGGAGAAAGGTATGCTTGTTTCAGTGTTATGGCAAGGGAAACGTATGGGGAGAAGGTACTGCTCGGGTTTTAAACTGTTTGGCACAAATCAAAACGGATGGAGGGGGAAGGGAACCCCTGTTAAACGTTATGGTCAGTCTAAAAAAACTGTTTTGGGGGGAAGAAGGGCTGCTCTGTTTCAGCGGGTTAAAGGTCAGTTTGCTGTAGGAAAGGGAAGGTTTTGTCGGGTTTTAGTGTTAGGTGCTAGCTGTTAGGGAAGGTACTGCTTGTTTCAGCTGTTATGGTCAGGGCTAGCGGGATGGGGGGAGAAGGGACTGCTTGTTTCAGCTGTTTTTTGGGCGGGCAGCTGATGGAGGAGAAAAGGGATGCTCTGTTTCAGCTGGTTTTGGTCAGTCTGGTTGGGAAGAAGGGAAAGCTTGTTTCAGCTTTTTTGGTCAGTTGCTGTTTGGGAGGGGAAAAAACTGCCTGTTTCAGCTTTTTTATGGTCGGGTTTGGGGGTTTTGGAGGAGAAGGTACTGTCTGTTTTAGCTGTTTTGGTCAGTCTAGCTGTATGGAGAAGGGTTTTCTTGTTTCAAACGGGTTTTGGTCAGTCTAGCCCTTTTGGAGAAAAGGGGATGCTTGTTTCAGTGTTATGGTCCCGTCTTGCTGTAGGGAGAAGGTTTCGCTTTTGTTTCACGAAAGGTCAAATTTTGGGTGTATGGAGAAGGGGACTGCTCTGTTTCAGCTTTTTATGGTCAGTCTAGCTTTTGGGGGGAGAAGGTAATGCTATGTTTTAGCGGGGAGGGGGTTTAAAGGGGGGTTTTTTGTGTTGGGGGTTGTGTTTGGGGGGTTGTTTGTTTTAATTTTTTATTTACTGGGGAAGGTTCGTTGGTTTTCCATGGGGGATTTGGGGGAAAAAGGGGGGGACTTTTTTCGCCCACGAGCCTGATTGGGAAGGGAGCCGGAGGGGGCAGCAGCGAGGGAAGAAGGGATCCGAAGGGGGTTTAGCCAACCCCCCTGATGGAGAAACCCGTTTCAATGTTGTATTAAAAATTAAAAAACCGGTTTCAACTTTTTGGTCAGGTCAGTGTTTTAGGGGAAAGGCCACCTTTTTTAAATTTTTAAAGGGCATTTTAGGGAAGAAGGACGCTCTTTTTCCAGGGCGCTACGTTGGGAAAAATTTTTGTTTATCGGCCCCCGTTTGGGGAAGGAAAAGCCCCCTTTCCCCCCCGGGTTCAAAAATGCTTATAAGGAAATAATCCTGCCGGATTCCTCCCCACCGTAGGAGAAGGGGGCCAATTTTGGCGCCACCATGGGGGCCCCGGGTTCCGGCCGGTTGGCGAAGCTGGATTGGGGAAAAAGGAAACTCTGTTTTTCCCCGGGTTTTGGCGCAGCGGTTAGAAGGGACTGTTGCACAGGCCAAACCAAAAAGCCATAGAGGGAAATATTGTTTTTCCCTTTTTTTGGCAATTTTTTTGATGGAGGGGAAAGGTACCCTTTTAAATTCATTAGTCCCAAAAACTATTTTTATTTTTAGTTGATGGGCAGTCAGCCCATGGCGGGGAAAGGTTTTTCCCCGGGGTTTTTTGGGATTTTTAAAAACACCCACAAAACACAAAAATAACCCGTTTTAGCGACCCAAAAAAAAAAACCCCAAAAAAGTTATGGCACAAAAAAAAAAACCCCAACCCCTTATGGCACAAAAAAAAAAAAAACCTTTCCCCCCGTTATGGGCCCCCACCAAAAAAAACACCCTTTCCCCCAGTTTTGGCGCACAAAAAACCCACCAACCCCCTCTGCGCAAAAAAGGGGATGCTTTTTCAGGGTTTGGCACAAGGGATTTAGGAAAGGGATGGGGTCTTTTTCAGCGGATGGAAGGTCCCACGTAAAGGGGCCCAAGGGCCCGGGTCTTTTAGGTTTTGGGGAAGTAAAACGGGAGGGGGAGGAAAGGAATTCTTTAGGATTTTCAAAAAAAGGGGGAAACGCCGCAGGAAAGGGAAGGGATAAAACCGTTGGTTTACCTATGGCAATCAGGTAAAAGAAAGGGCTAGGTTTTTTTTGGGAGTTAGCCCCTTGGGGAAAGAACCCTTTGGGCAGGGTTTTAGGTCTGGGCTGTATGGAGGAGAAGGTATGCTTGTTTCAGCTGTTATGGTGTTAGCGTATGAGAGGTATGCTCGTTTAGCTGTTAGGGTCAGTCAGCTTTTGGAGAAGGTATGCTCGTTCAGCTTTTAGGTTCAGCTGGGTTAGGGAGAAGGTAGCTCGTTCAGTGAGTGTCTAGGTATGGAGGAGAGGTACTGCTCTGTTTCAGCGTTATGGTAAAGTCTAGCTGTATGGAGGAGAAGGTACTGCTCGGTTTCAGCTTTTTATGGTCAGTCTAGCTGTATGGAGAAGGTACTGCTCCTGTTTCAGCTTTTATGGTCAGTCTAGCTGTATGGAGAAGAGTACTGCTCTGTTCAGCTGTTATGGTCAGTTAGCTGTAGGAGAGAAGGTATGCTCTGTTTCAGCTGTTATGGTCAGTCTAGCTGTATGGAGAGAAGGTACTGCTCTGTTCAGCTGTATGGTCAGTCTAGCTGTATGGAGAAGTACTGCTCTGTTCAGCTGTTATGGTCAGTCTAGCTGTATGGAGGAGAAGGTACTGCTCTGTTTCAGCTGTTAGTATTTAAAGTGTGTGTGAGTGTGTGTATATACCTGGGGGCCAGGTATCGTTGGTGTTTCCATGGGGGGATTTGGCACGAGGGGGCCAGCTGTCGCCCACCGAGCCCATTGATTGGCCGGGAGAGCTGAGGGGGGCGGAGCCAGCAGACAGGAAGTCATAGGGACCGAATGGAGAATCCTCCAGACGCAACCCAGACATAGCACCTGGAGACACACACAGTTAAACACACTGTTATATACAGATACACACCACATCGTTATACACACACACTGTTATACACGTGTTATATGACACACGCCACGTGTTATATTTTTACATTTACATTTTAGTCATTTAGCAGACGCTCTTATCCAGAGCGACTTACAGTTAGTGAATACATATTTTGTTTATACTGGCCCCCCGTGGGAATCGAACCCGCAACCCTGGCGTTGCAAACGCCATGCTCTATCAACTGAGCTACATCCCTGCCGGCCATTCCCTCCCCTACCCTGGACGACGCTGGGCCAATTGTGCGCCGCCCATGAGTCTCCCGGTCGCGGCCGGCTGCGACAGAGCCTGGATTCGAACCAGGATCTCTAGTGGCACAGTTAGCACTGCGATGCAGTGCCTTAGACCACTGCGCCACTTATATGACACACGCCACAGCCAAGAAGCCATAGCACCTGGAGACATACGTGGTGTTTGAGATCCATCGCATCGCAGTCGGAGACTGACTGACCTTCAAATCACCTTGAGTCCTAAATAACTATTATTATTATTAGTAGATCAGTCAGTCGGACTGCCCAGCTGGTGATCAGTAACGGAGCTAAATGTATTCTCTCCAACACACACACACACACACACACACCACACACACACTCACACCCAGTCATGCGCACACACATACACACACACACAACACACACACCACACACCCAGTCATGCGCACACAACCACACACACACACCACCCCAGTCATGCGCACACACACACACACACACACCCACACACTCACACCCAGTCATGCGCACACACACACACACACACACCACACACTCACACCCAGTCATGCGCACACACCACACACACAACACACCACACCCAGTCATGCGCACACACACACACAGTGAGTGACTTACCAGGTTTGCGCTCCAGAGGCGAGTTAACGGACATGTCCATGGCCGTCCATTTCTTCAGACGAGACTGAGGCTCCTTACAGCCCACACCAGACCCCATGTCCAGGCCTACATTCAGGTCAGAGGTCAAGCCTAGAGAAGAGGAGAGAGGAGGAGGAGAATACTTTAGGATTTCACAAATCAAGGAAAAGCAGCAGAGACAAGATACAGGATAAAACACTGTTGAATTACACAACTATGAAGACACATCAGGTTAAAACAGAATGGGCTAGTCTCTGTTTCTGTAGTGAGACAGCTTGATGTACAGTACACCCCCTGGACAGGACACTAGTCCATCTCCTGTTTCTGTAGTGAGACAGCTTGATGTACCAGTACACCCCCTGGACAGGACACTAGTCTATCTCCTGTTTCTGTAGTGAGACAGCTTGATGTACAGTACACCCCCTGGACAGGACACTAGTCTATCTCCTGTTACTGTAGTGAGACAGCTTGATGTACCAGTACACCCCTGGACAGGACACTAGTCTATCTCCTGTTTCTGTAGTGAGACAGCTTGATGTACCAGTACACCCCCCTGGACAGGACACTAGTCTATCTCCTGTTTCTGTAGTGAGACAGCTTGATGTACAGTACACCCCCTGGACAGGACACTAGTCTATCTCCTGTTACTGTAGTGAGACAACTTGATGAACAGTACACCCCCTGGACAGGACACTAGTCTATCTCCTGTTTCTGTAGTGAGACAGCTTGATGTACCAGTACACCCCCTGGACAGGACACTAGTCTATCTCCTGTTTCTGTAGTGAGACAGCTTGATGTACAGTACACCCCCTGGACAGGACACTAGTCTATCTCCTGTTTCTGTAGTGAGACAGCTTGATGTACCAGTACACCCCCTGGACAGGACACTAGTCTATCTCCTGTTTCTGTAGTGAGACAGCTTGATGTACCAGTCCACCCCCTGGACAGGACACTAGTCTATCTCCTGTTTCTGTAGTGAGACAGCTTGATGTACCAGTACACCCCCTGGACAGGACAACTAGTCTATCTCCTGTTTCTGTAGTGAGACAGCTTGATGTACCAGTACACCCCCTGGACAGGACACTAGTCTATCTCCTGTTTCTGTAGTGAGACAGCTTGATGTACCAGTACAACCCCCTGGACAGGACACTAGTCCTATCTCCTGTTTCTGTAGTGGAGACAGCTTGATGTACCAGTACACCCCCTGGACAGGACACTAGTCTATCTCCTGTTTCTGTAGTGAGACAGCTTGATGTACCAGTACACCCCCTGGACAGGACACTAGTCTATCTCCTGTTTCTGTAGTGAGACAGCTTGATGTACCAGTACACCCCCTGGACAGGACACTAGTCTATCTCCTGTTTCTGTATTGAGACAGCTTGATGTACAGTACACCCCCTGGACAGGACACTAGTCTATCTCCTGTTTCTGTAGTGAGACAGCTTGATGTACAGTACACCCCCTGGACAGGACACTAGTCTATCTCCTGTTTCTGTAGTGAGACAGCTTGATGTACAGTACACCCCCTGGACAGGACACTAGTCTATCTCCTGTTTCTGTAGTGAGACAGCTTGATGTACAGTACACCCCCTGGACAGGACACTAGTCTATCTCCTGTTTCTGTAGTGAGACAGCTTGATGTACCAGTACACCCCCTGGACAGGACACTAGTCTATCTCCTGTTTCTGTAGTGAGACAGCTTGATGTACAGTACACCCCCTGGACAGGACACTAGTCTATCTCCTGTTTCTGTAGTGAGACAGCTTGATGTACAGTACACCCCCTGGACAGGACGCTAGGCTATCACAAGCCCAGCAATTTGGATTGTGTCGGTCCTACTAAATGATCGGATTGATATTTCCCCATCAGGCATCACGAAGGCCTACCTAAAGGGAAGTTGGTAAAGGAGCCCATAGAGCTGGGCTCCTTCTGCAGCTCAGATGCATTCTGGGGCATGTAGTTGTCCAGGTAGGACTTGAGGGGCTGGTGGGCGGGGTTCTGCTTCAGGAGGGAGGGGTCAAGGTGATGCGGAGGCTGCATCATCGACTGGGACGAACCAATAGGACGGCCCTGCACACGGAGAGGGGGAAAAAGGGTTAGACTTACACAATCACCTGACAGACAACGGCACAGACTACATCATTTATTTTCATTTTCAACCTTTATTTTAACGAGGTAGGACACACAGAGGTTAAAAAACCTAATTTTGTGAGGCCGACCTGGCCAGAATGCAAAACAGGGAAATAGCAGCGTGTACATAACATGTTACAAAAAAATACAATTACACACAGAAGTCCAACGTTATAGATAGCTGCAGTTGTTGTCCATCAGTCTTAAAAACAGGCAAGGACAGTGGGGTAAATGTAGCCATTTTTAATTTTTTTTTACATTCAGCATCACTCCGTCAAGGGAAATATAATTTTCCTTTCTAACGAAGATATTGACATATATTTCAGGATGTGGTG